CCCAGCGCTGGGGTGCTGCCTCATGCCCGCCTGCCGCCTCGCCACCCATCCGGATGCACCCTGGCATTGCCGACGTGCAGGTCGTTACCTGAGAGCACGCGAGCCTGCCGACCTGCCACCCTCACCGCTCACACACTGCCTGCCCCTCAGCATCCTGCGCTGCTCCCGTGGGGCTGGGGGGCCGCGCTCGAGTGCCTCGTCGCCACGCTGAGCAGCAAGAGGCAAACAATAAACGTCTCGTATGAACGATTGCAAAGAAAATGGAAAGTCGTTTAGTCTCAGTCTGTGATGCTTAATGGGTCTGAGAAGTGATCTAATTGCTCGGCTGCCTCGTCACGAGCATCCATAACTCAGGTACCGGGACTGCCGGCGCTCGCCTCGCCGGGAACGTGCGGAGGTCCCTAATTTGCTCCCTGATGGCACTGGTGGTTGTTCAGCATGTCCCGACGCTCTGTTCCAGCGTGCTCTGATGTGCTCAGCAGCTATTAGTGACAGCTCAGGGGTGCTACCAGCCCCTCAGGAGCCATGTGCAGCGTGGCAGTGTGCAGGCAAGGAGGAGGCAGGAACAGGCACAAGGAGCCCCTGGGCAATGGGCGGCCAAAGCCAGAGGGAGCAGAGGTGCAGGGGACCCCAAATACCATCAGCTGTCCCCAGCCCTGCGACCAACAAATGGGCAAGACCTGAGCTTGCAGGAGGGAAAAATAAATCCTTGACACTGCTGCCACAGTGAGCCTGCAGCAGTAGGGGCCAAAAGCCCTGTGCACCCCCCATGCAGCCTTCCTCTGCTCATGGCCTCAGCACCCCAGGTTCCAGCTTTTGTCCCAGCGAGCCAGCTGCTGCTGAGGAGCTTCAATATCCCACGGGCATCACCGAGGGAGCAGTGCTTTCCCGGGAAACACCAGGGCACACGAGCCTGCCCAGCCGCACACACGGAGGGAGCAGAGATTGGGCTCTGCTCACTGTCACTGTGCTGGGTGACAGCTGTGGTGTCCCCAGGCTGCCAGCCCCCTCGCCCCCAACACCTCCTTGCAGCAACCACGGGGAGGTGAGCACATTTTAAGGGCAGTTCCCTCCATCCCTGTTCACGGCTGCACTGACAATGCGGTTACAGCTCTGGCAGCACGGCGCAGCTCCCACACAGCATCCCCAGGGACACCAGCCAGCCTTGGGGACACCGAGCGTTGCTGACAAGTCCCCCGAGACATTTATCCCCCTGAGAGGGGAAGTCGAAACACGGTGGGGATGTGTGAAACCCACTTGGCTACAGCTGCTGCAGGAAACCAGAGCCTGGAGCCAGCCAGCAGCGCTCATGTTCCGGCTTTGTGCGTCCGGCGGGGTCACCAAGGCGCACCCAATGCCTTTGCCAGGACAGCAGTGTCCCAAGGCCTCCTGGCATCTCCTCTAGCACCTGCAGCACACCTCTAATGTCTCTCCAAATGAAAGCAAGGTGTCTACATGAGTATCATTTAACAAAATGAGATTCACACCCCCTGATGGCCGCAGTGTGTGTCACTGACTGTAGGGACAAGCAGCCTGGACAAGCCTCCTCGCTCCCCAGGTCAGCCTAGACTGTCAGTGCCCATTTTCCTGCATTAGCTCAGAAACTTTCGGGCTCTGTATGACACCCTCTGCCAACACCATCCCCATCTGTCCAGTAAGGAAGCTTCCTGCAGAGGCAGTGGGGCAACAGGCACGGCTTCCCCTTGGAGCCAGCACTGCCCAGCCCGGCACCACGGCCAGCCAAAAAGGTACCTGTGCAGGGCCACCTCCCTCTGTGTGGGCTTTCTGGTGAGGATGGGTTTAGGCAAACCTGGTTCTGCTTCTCACGTGTTCCTGCCCTGTTTCCATCCATCCATCCATCTATTGCCGTCAGCTGATCTCTCCAACCCGGTTTCTGTGCTCTGACGCACTCTGTCTCGCCATCCCAACCCAGGAGGCTGTCAGCCTGCCAGGCACTGACAACAGTCTGATTTACTCACCCAGGTTAAACGCAACACAAGGCTTTTGGGTGTTCCCCTTCGGGTTCCTCCGTCAGCAGCAAGGCTGCCCTGTACACAGCCATTTTCCGCCCCACGGGGCAGCTTGGTTGAGGCAGCTCACCCAGCATCGGAGCAGCGTTTGTCAGAGGGCTGGTGCTGATGAAGGGCCACCACTCCTTCCCACGGCTTAACCCCTCCTTTCACGCCTGCCTCTTCCCCAGGAGCAGGACAGGCAGCCCCAGCAGCCAGCCAGCTGCTCCAAGTCACAGCCCTTGCGAGGTCAGTGCTCAAGACCCCAAAATCCCCCATACTGGGCAGGAGTGGAGCCTCACCACACCCCTGCAGCATCACATGCGGTAAGGCACAGGTTTGCTGATGAAACAGCCCCAAGCCGAGCAGTACCAAATGAACACAGAAGCTTCAAGCTCCTCGGGGAGAGGCTGGGGACGCAGGCGGCTCCAGCAGCGCTGCCCTGCCCTTTGCTCCGAGCGAGCTGGCAGAGCACGCACGTGTCTGCGCGGGGCTGAGCCCATCCACCCGGCTCCTGAGCTGGGATGCTCCAGGCCTTCTGCTTCATCACTGTTACGCAACTGCTGTTATGAAGAAAATTCAATTACAGAAGTTATTTGTAAGCACAAGTGCACCGGCGAACATTGGAGAAACGCGAGCTGCGATGGTCCAGAGGTTACCGGCTGGCCCGGGGCGAGCAGACTACCTCCCGGGGGGCGTTTGCTGCTGCTGGCAGCAACTCACGCAGAAGAATTTCCAGGGGATGAAAAGAAAGGCCAAGGCAGTTTCATAGAGTAAAATATCTTAATATTTATTGTGTCTCAGGACAAAAGAGTTCTACTCTACACAAAATGAGATAAGCAGCATATAATACTGACAATCAAGTCACAGCTGACTCGGTGCAAGGACACCTACCAAGATAAAGGCACCAGGAGCTACATCACCAAACCTCACTACAGCTTACAAAGAATCACTACAGCCTGCACTTAAAAAAGTACAACTATAAAAAAGTATATAAAACCCAGGGCAGGGATGAGAGAGAGCTTGGCAACCAGCCGAGACCTTGCTGAGCCAAGGGCTGCAGGCAGGCAGGGCTGTGTTTTAACGGGGCAAGAGCCCCATCTCGAGAGCAACTGCGTCCAGAGAGCAAGGGGACATTGACGGGCTGCTGGCGATGATGGGAAGCATCGCTTTCCCAAGGAGGCACTGAAGACGAGCACCGGGAATCCCGTGAGGCCACCAGCTCGGTCGGCTTCGGCACGGCACTCGAGTGCGCTGCCGAGGAAAGAGCCAGGGGCTGCGGTGCCCGGAGGAACGCGCTTGCTGTAACCACCGCAGCTACGCTAATTATCCCATGCGGTGGCACAGCAGAGTAGTGTCAGGACAAGTCCCTGAGCGCACCAGGACAGCTGCTGCACTCGTTTCTATGAGCTAGTTGAGGAGAATATCAGTCAGTTTAAAGCAAGATTTCATGAAGTGGCATCCAGAGGAAAACTGGAGGCGGTGACATCCTCCCCGGCCGCGGAGAGCATACCCTGCAACGCACAGACAAAGTGTTAACAGGCAAGGCTGGATTTATAAACAGCTTAAAATGATGTAGCAGACACAGTCTTGCAGCTGCCCCCTACCCCCACACGCCCTCAAAAGTGATACCCGTTGCCGTGCTAAAGGTCCCCAGGGTAAACCAGGCAGCAGCAGGGATGCAAAGGCAGCCCACCGAGCTCACAGCGCTGGACAGACGTACCTGGCCACAGCCACAGCGTGCTGGGTCCAGCTACACCATCTCATACTGGTTGTTCGTGATGTACCGGGACAGGCAGCAGGCAAGAATGATGCCAACCAACTGAAAAAGAGAAAAAAAAGACCCCACATATCAGATGTAGCCAAAACCAGGAGGCGGTGTTTTAGGGGAAAAGCCTGACAAATTGCTCCAGAGCATCACCCAAAGATGAACAGTGGGATTTACAAACCACAACACAGGCTGCCATGCCCTGCTTTGGAGTAACTGAGCGAGGCTGAAGGGGGAAACCTGGCGGGCATCAGCCAAACAAGCTCCTCGCAGGAGATGCTCTGCATCCTGTCCTGTTACATTTTGTTCCGTGAAGCAACTACTGGTTTATGGTGATTTTGGAGATTACACAGACACCAGGAGCGTCACAGCCAATTACACTGCCACTAGAGAACAGCAGCCACCTCTCCCCGTTGCAAGGACAGCAGGAAAGCGAGGTTGCTCTTTTCGCATCAGCATCCGAAGGACATGCTGCTGTTGTCACAACACGGCCTCCCAGGCGCTGCGCAGACATTCAGGGCAGGAGTCTGACCTACACCAGCAAAGTTAGAGGCGCATTTGCATGATGGGTCCCTTTCGGCTGCACGACACAGCCAGGCGTGCTGAAAGAGCGATAAAAGCCAGGAGCTGGTTACAATTCCCAAGCCTGGCATCATCAGAGATAATTTCGTGGCTGGGAGCGTGCAGCTCACCGTTTGTGTCGGTCACGTCTCGGTGACCCCGTGGCAAGCACAGCCCAACTGAGGAGATCGGGGCGAGCAGATGGGCACAGCCGAGTAGCTCCAGCTCTCGGGCTCTCCCCATCACAATGGAAAACACTTGGTAGCACAAGCTGCAGCTCCCACCTCTCCCCCATTTTAGCACATCCGTTACGGGAAACGCACAGGGACACGCTCGTTACAGGACAAAAATCTTGGCAGCGTTCCTTGTCCTCCTGCTGGCACAGTCAGCCGGTGGTCCCGGGGGGCAGCACCTTGAAATTCATGCCACGGCCTCCACGCGCCGGCTCACGGGAGGGTGAACTCAGGGCACTGCAAAGCCCGCGGCGAGCTGCCCCCAGGC